AGAATAGAATAGAATAGAATAGAATAGAATAGAATAGAATAGAATAGAATAGAATAGAATAGAATAGCCTTTATTGTCATTTCACAAGCTTGGACAACAAAACTGAACATCCAAATCTTATGTACATTTAGAGACACTTGCAAAAACATCACAAGTTTTCTTCATCTTTTGAGACATTTTAAAAGCAAATTCAAGAACTGCATTGCATATTGTTGCACCACTTTTAGTCCCACTTTATTTTCTACAAATTTGTTACAGAAATGTATGTTTTTCAAAGTTTTTGCCATAGGAAACATAAATCACAACATTATCGTGTCAGTGATTTAGTTGCTCTGGCCTTGTTAATGGAGTCTTTTTCTGCCCACATCTCCACCTGCCTGCAAATCCTCTGATTCTCCCTTGACTCTGCAGAACCAACTCTCCCACACTCGTTCTGTAATGAACAGGTAGAAAAGTCATCGGGTTGCTAATTTTCGCTCACAGAGCCTCACTCCTGGGCTTTTCACAGAAGAGGCAGCACCTGCTTGAACTCAATTCATTTTCGACGAGACACCAGCAGAGCCTCCCTGCTTTCCTGACTAAGACAAAGCAGGGCAGAAAATGATACCAACTTCAGGACTCATTATTCAAAAGACCCCTGACAGAGGGCTTCCTGTCCCTGGCGGACCTTTTGCTGGTTTCTCTGCAGAGCTGCTGACTCTCTTTCCTGGGCAAAGAGGTGTCTTCAGTCTTGCTGAAAATAAAATGAGAACAAGCAGGTGTTGCCCTTTTTGAAAAGCCCGTGGTTCTTACACTCAGTGAATGAATTACCASCCCTCATAATTAACTGCTGTTTCTTTTTCGTAAGTCAGTATACCTCCTTGCTTTAGTTATGGGATTGTGGTCTAAAGTGTGAAAAATAGAGAAAAAAAACTAATAACAAGCTTGTTTGTGGCTTTTTATTTGCTTAGTTGATTTTTCTTATACCTTCAGGTATTTTGACTCAGCACTAAAATGTCTTGTCAGAACCCCTCAGTCATCGCAATGTCTGATTTTGATRATAGTTTATTTTGTAACTATTGTTAGATGTTTTTCCTACTCAGGACAACAGATGAAATTTGGCTGTTATGCAGTGCATTAATACTCATGAAATATTGATTAACCTGCAGTGTTCTTTTAAATAAAWAAATTTAATTAAATCTTCTTTTAACAAACAGAACAAAACTTTATTTTTGCCAGGACAAATTGAAATAAATCTCTGCTTTTTAATAAAGTGCCTTTGTGTACAACTTTACATATAACTAAGTAAGTAAAGTTTATTRATAGCACCCAAAGTCACAGAGTGCTTCACAACAAAAGCAAGAAAATTTTAAAACATCACACATTAACAGAAAGTCTTCAGATGTTTATTAAAAGCATCAATAGAATCAAGGCTGCAGATAGATTGCAGATAGTTATTCAACTCGATTTAGAGGAACCAGTTGACATAACTTGGTTAAGTAAAATCAACGCTTCATTTTTATAGATTGCATAAACAACTCTTTGCAGTTAAGTAAAAGTATATTTTTATGTTTTGAATTAAACTAAATAAAAGTAAAAGTTACAATAAAAAACTTTGTAAAATTACACATCTTCAAAAAATTACTTGGATAATGTAACAAGGTAAATGTACTTAGTTACACCTCTTCAAAACAATTTATTAAAAAGCAGTAGAACTGAATATCATCAGCATACAACTGACATTGCATATTTTTAAATTACTGAATTTTCTGRCCCAAAGGGAAGAATTTAAAAAATAAACAAAATAGGCCCCAAAACAGAGCCTTGGGGTACACCACAAGTCAGCCTGGTTGTGTCTGACATGATATCATTAACAGAGACATTAAAACTTTAATCAGACAGGTACAAAGAGAACCACTGGAGAGCAGAACCAGATAACCCAAAATCATTTCTAAGTCTGTTGATTAAGATCTTGTGGACTCAGTAAGATGACTYTAAACTTGCACTCAGATTTTGGCTCAATAGATTCAGATAAATAAACTTTGTATTTCATTAAGGAAGACATATTGACTGCCACCTTAGATATCAAAGTTAAAATTAAAGAAAAAAAACATCTGTTAGAGCTCAGATTATGTAAGGAATGACTCTCAGCTACTACCCCTCCAATTTGTACCCTYTCATCTGTAAAACCGGAATTACAGACATTTTGTGTTTGCTATGTTTTATTAGCCAGAATGATTTTCTTTTGTCTGCCTCCAGGTAAAAAGATGAATTGCCACTAATTGTTTTTATTGGCATTGTAACTTTAGTGGAAATTGAGGTTTTGATACGCACATGCTATGACTTTGACTCATCTGGGCCRGACGTTGACTCTGCCAGAACTCTGAGCCCCGAGGAGAAGATTAAAAAAAATCTTGTTAACCTGTTAGTGCAGAATGCCTGTTGAAAGAGACACCATTCTGTGCAGCAAAAACTGCTGTTCAAGAAATTTCAGCATGTGCAGCCCAYTTTGGTTTACATCAATAAAGAAATAAACTAGAAGCGCTCGGAGAGTGCAAACCTCCACCAAGGCCAATTTCCCCTATCCTTCAATAGTGAAGAATCCTTCAAAAAATCCCTGGGTCCGGATCATCACCAAAAATTAATGGTGTGTTCCTTTGTTCAATACCCACCTGTGGTAAGTATTTCATGCAAATCCACCCATAAGTTAGTAATTAGCAATTTTGTCCACAGACAGACAGACAGACAGACAGACAGACAGACAGACAGACAGACAGACAGACAGACAGACAGACAGACAGACAGACAGACNTTTGGTTTACATCAATAAAGAAATAAACTAGAAGCACTTGGAGAGTGCAAACCTCCACCAAGGCCAATTTCCCCTAGCCTTCATTGGTGAGGAATCCTTCAAAAAATCCCTGGATCCGGATCATCACCAAAATTTGTGTTCCTTTGTCCAATACCCACCTGTGGTAAACATTTCATGAAAATCCATCCATAAGTTAGTAATTAGTAATTTTGTCCACAGACAGACAGACAGACAGACAGACAGACAGACAGACAGACAGACAGACAGACAGACAGACATAGGCGACCGAAAACACAACCTCCTTGGCGGAGGTAAAAAAGTCCCCCAACTTGACAGGTTTGAATAGGTCCAATCACAGCTCACCTAACATATGTATGTATGGTTTCCATGTTCATGTTGAGAGGTAGTAGTTATCAGGTTCTTTCTGTTACGTAAGGAGACATATTTTCTCACACAATAACTGTTGTATGGTCTAGTTTGATGTAACCAGATGAATTAGAATTTACTGTATATTACTGGTTATACCAATTAATTTTGACCTAATTAAATGACAAACCACAATTCATAAAATTCAGACCAAAGTGGGTTAATCCTGCCCTAAAATAACATCACTCAAGTRAGGTTCCTGTTGCAACGTGGGAAACCAGTAGGATTTGCTTATAATGATGCTAGTGGCCAGGCTAACTGTTAGCACTACAAGCTAGTAACAATAATGATTCTGCATTCTGTGCATTCAAACAAACTACGAAAGCCGCYAATACAGTCTGAACAGAATTTAGAATGACTATGAATGAAATTTTGTAAATTAGCTTAACGTTAGATCCAGTCTTGTATTTTTGTACTTTCTGATCATTGCAGCCTTAAGGATAAAACAGAGAAAGTCTTGGTGTGTTACGGATGTGTTCTTTCTGTCTGTATAAACAAGAGCTGGTTACGTTCTGAAGTCTGACGCAAAAGTTTCCACGTTTAGGGCTTTAACCAGGAAGAGACTGAAGAGGTAGAAGTTGTTGGTGTTTTGTAGAGCTTAGATTCAGCCTGCTGGGCTGCTTTGTTTGAGTTTTTGGATACGGCCCAAGGCCTTACGCTGAGGCCTGTGCTGTCTGATTGGAGTCAGGGACGAGAATAAAGTTTTGAGAATAAATCCTGTTGGGACTTTTCATACTGAAAGTATGATTTTGGAACAAAYCTCTTTTTGTAAATGATCACCAGTAAATCTGTTCAAGATTAAATGTTCAACAAACTGAGACAATTCAAAGATCTACTGCATATCTGACAATTACTTTTTTTTCGAAGTGCTCACTTTAATATGTCTGAATTGTAGTTTTAATATTTTAACCGTCAGGTCACATGTTCATGAGAATAATAACAAAGCTCTGAACTATATTTATGATGTTAGATTAATTTTTAATGATTTAATCTGACYACTAAAAGTTTTTTAAAGTTTTAGGGAGGCTTATGTCCATCTAGAGCTCCATCTACACAGTAAATGTTTCTGAGTTATTGTATTAACAATTATTGTCATGGTGCATCTCAAGTGATCTAAAAAAACTGCACAAGTTCATTCCTGATTTWAAAAACAAACAAAAACAACTGAGGCAATCATTCTTTTGTCTCAGATTCAGTTTATTCAGCATCATCTCATATTTGCAGGAACATTCACCGGTCCTGTGTGAGAAGACCTGTACAAAATAAATCTGGTCTTAACATAGTTTTTGGTTAAAAGTAATTTGGGGGCAAAACTAAAAGAAAACAATAAAAAAACAGTAAAAAAAAAAAGAAGAGCAAATCAACAACAAATCTGCTCAAAGTTTGTAAACAAATAAATTCACACTTTTAAAAATTTTGTGTTTCTCCAGTGATCAGATTTCGTCATTGATTTCCTCTTCTTAATGATATTGGCTCTCAAATAAAAAAAACCTGAAAACATCTGAGCTAAAAGCTCTGGCAGAGCAGACTGTGATGCCCTGTTCAAACATTTCCCTTGTTTAGTTTTAACACCCCATAAAAATTTTGTTTCTCCTTTTTTTCTGATTTGTTGGATAGAGGAAAAAAACATTCAGAAACTGTTGTTCTACGTTGTTGAACAGAACAGAGGAGAAAGTTGCCATTTTAAGGAAGGACTTCTTTTTGGGTTGCTCAGCTTTCATTTTGAACATGTTTGACAGCATTGCATAGCACCATGGAAGGGTACAGATTTAGCCTAATTTTCACAAGTTTCAGAAGGAAAAGAAGGGTCGCTCTCCTTTTTTTTTTGTCAACTTTAATACAATCTCCGAGAACTGGTTGTTGTGACTGTTGACTTGGTGATGGCACTGCCGCCATAACCACTGCTGCCACCAAAACCACTGCTGCCACCATATCCACTGCTGCCACCAAAACCACTGCTGCCACCAAAACCAAATCCACCAGACATTCCTGCAACATGAGACAAATGGTGAGTGTTAAAACTTGTTTTTTTTATCACACTTGTTTATTTGGCCCATTTAAAATGATATAGAAGATCAGACACGTACCACCGCCACCACCTCCAGAGGTCTGCTGCACATGGATGACGGCGCTGGAGCCACCACTGTTCAGTCTAAAGGTAGAAGAATGGAGAGTRATTACTTAAAAAGGCTCAAGCGTCATCTACAAAGCAGTAAGTATTTCAGTTTCACGCACCTGCTCTCCTCTCCCTCCAGCAGTTTTCTGTAGGTGGCGATCTCAATGTCCAGGGCGAGCTTGATGTTCATCAGGTCCTGGTATTCACGCACTTGGCGGGCCATTTCTGTCTTGGCCTTCTGCAGAGCCTCCTCCAGGTCCTTGATGCGGCCCTTGGCATCCTTCACTGCCAGCTCGCCGCGCTCCTCAGCCTCAGCGATCTGAGCCTCCAGATTGGCTCTCTGTGCAAAGGGACGTTGCATACGACTGAATGTTCACATGCCCTTGAACACCARGGCCTCGTCAACAAGACGTTCTAGAACTTTGCTTTTCTTTACCTGTGCCTTGACTGCCTCAATCTCGTTCTGAAGCCGAGAGATCATGCGGTTCAGGTCAGCAATCTCAGTCTTCGTTGAGCGCAGGTCTGCGTCATACTGTCCTGCAGAGCTCTGCATCTCATCAAACTGTTGACCCAAAAGGTGTATTAGAAACATGAGCCAGAAAGAAAGATGATCTCATCGTGTGATCYTGTCGCTTTGATTTGCTGTACCTTCTGTTTGTACCAGCTTTCTGCCTCAGCCTTGCTGCGGGCGGCGATGTCCTCATACTGAGCCCGCACTTCAGCCACAATGGCGTCCATGTCAAGGTTACGGCTGTTGTCCATCTCCACGATGACAGAGGTATCCTTGATCTGACCCTGCAGCTCACGAAGCTCCTACAGAACCAATGGTTGAACTGTTTTAGCATTTTTTTTACAATAAGAGTAACTTTAACAGTAATTTAAATTGCTGAAATAGGTTGACTTTATAAGGATGTACTCACAGCTTCAAACACYGCCCTGAGGAAGTTGATCTCATCCTGAAGAGCATCAACTTTAGCCTCCAGTTCCACCTTGTTCATGTAGGCAGCATCAACGTCCTAGAAACAGAATGTGCAGTTTTTGTAACCATGTCTTTTAGAAATACTAAAACAAGTGTTTATCAAGTCGTATCAGTATTTACTCACCTTCTTCAAGATCACAAACTCATTCTCAGCAGCTGCACGGTTGTTGATTTCATCCTCGTACCTGTTGGAAGGCGAGGTGGAACATGAGCGCTTCACTGATCCTAAAGACACAAATTAACAGTCGGGATCTTTTTATTTTTGTAAGAACTCACTTCTTTTTGAAGTCCTCCACCATGTTCTGCTGGTTCTTCAGATCTCCCTCCAGCTTCATCTTCTCGTTGCCCAGCCCGTCCAGTTGCCTGCGCAGGTTGGCAATGTAGGCCTCAAACATGGCGTCAATGTTTGAGCGGGTAGTGGTCTGTTCCTGCAGGAGGCTCCACTTGGTCTCCAGCATCTTGTTCTGCTGCTCCAGAAAACGGACCTGTGGAGGAAAAGAAAAGAGAACAAAATAAAGTCACAAAACTTTCTAAAATAATAATTTATTGTCTTTTGTACGTTCAATTTGCATTCAGGGGGGTTTAAATAGGTGTAAGAATAAAAGTAAAAGCCTTTTAAAAATGGGATGAGTTGGGTTTAACAAAAAGGGATTTAAAGGGTGTGTRAAGTCTAGTGGCTTTAAAGGTGCCCCGCCTTAGCTGAGTGTGTATAAAATGCCAAACTCTTTTTACAATGTGCTTTTTAAGTACTAAAAGTAAAAAATAAACTTGTCATGTTCATATGTGTGAAGGGTTTTCCTTTTATACAGGATAGTTCATCCAGTGAACTCTTATAAATGTGGTCATAGGTGTTTCATAGAGCTATTGTTTCTCCTGCTGAGCTCTGACTCATCCTGTCCGCTCTGCTGAGCTATCACAAGTTTCCCAGCCATAAAAAAATRTAGGTGTGGCAGATCAACTGCAGGGGACAAAGCAGTTCAGTGCTTTGAAAATGAACACATTCATTTCTGTCTGAAAGTTGTCCTGAGGAATTTAGAGTTGGAAAAACAATAAGAATTTGTAGGAGACGTTTCGTAGATACAGTTTGTGGTTAAGATCCCAATCAAGTGAAAGTTAATTTACAACTTTGCATTAACATTCATGTTGCCCTTAGCAACCAGGTGATAGGTGCAATGTGCAAATAGCAGACTTTGAACTGTGTGGTAGTAGTGCAGATATTCCTGTTCTACCTGACAGTCTAGCAGGTTAAAAAGTGTACGGCATAATCGCCACCCATGTTTATTTAGTGGGCAGAGAGGGTTCAGACTTGGCTTTCGGCCAAATATGATAGATTTTTGATGGAACTAAGAGAGGAACTGTTCCACTGGCAGACTGAGCTCTTTTATGAGTCATTGGTGAGAATGTCACAGAGGTATAATTCCCWGCATTGCTTAGTCAGCAGTTCAGTCAACACACAACCCACATTTCTATGTACGAAGCTGCATACTTTTATTTGTCATTTGTTTTACTTTTCCACACATCAAAGATAATTCATTGAGATCTCCTGAAAGTTAATATAGCTGCATTCAAAATCAAATAACTTAGGTCTACAGTAACCACACAGGAAGTAAGAGACAGAAACTGACCTTGTCGATGAAGGAGGCGAAGCGGTTGTTGAGGGTCTTGATTTGTTCCTTCTCCTGGGTGCGGACGGCCTGGATGCTGGGGTCAATCTCCAGATTCAAAGGGGCCAGAATGCTCTGGTTGAACTGGACAGGTGTGATCGTTTGTGGAACAATGGGACCACCACCATAGCCAGAACCACCATAGCCAGAACCACCATAGCCGGAACCAACGCTGTAGCTTGATGACTTTTGGATGATGGAAGGGCTGCCGAAGCCATAGCTGGAGCCATAGCTAGAGCCATAGCCTCCACCTCCAGAACCAAAGTTAGAGCTGGTCCTGCTGAAAGATACGGTCGATGCAGACCTTCTGTTGGATGGACCTGAGACTGACATGGCTTTTCTCATCATGGTTCCTGTCAAAGACTGTCCGCTGGCTGAGCAAAAAGAAAGCTGAAGATGTGAGGGCTTCAAAAGGAGGGCCAAGTCCTCTGAGTGTCCGACTCCTAACTCTGTCTGCTTTTATATTGTACCAGAAGAAAGCTGGAGAGGGGTGGGGATATTCTTCGGCCATCTCAACCTGTCTTTCTCACTTTTGCTYTCAAGCCAACCCCTCCACACCCAGAGACCTGGGTGACAGGAGCAGCCCGTCCTGTTAAACAGGTAGGGGATTGGCAGGAGATAAGCTGGGACACGCCCTGCAATGGGAATGCTCCAAGTGAGGTAGAAAGACGGGGTAGGCTTTGTGTTATTGTTGTTTTGGATGAGATATGAAGTAATTTAACTAAAACTAAAAACGGTCATCTAATCTAAAGAAGCCAAAACTGATTCCTGCTCAGGAGAAACAGCTCTGGGAAGTTTTCGGCTTCTAACAAAACTGCAGTCACACATGCATGAAGAGCATTGTTTTGGTCTGCACACAGAGCTGTGATGGGAGCATGGCGGACCCTCCTTGCACACTCATTAAGTTTACTGTTGGTGTTTTGTGTTAKGGTTACAGCAGCTTTGTTGCTCTTTTTCCATGGCAACAGCAGCTCTCTCTCCAAAACCTCTGAGCTTTTTTATGCCAAAACAGTCAAGCCCGGYGTAAACAAAAGACTGAACTACAAGTATGAAGAGATATTTCAGGTTTATCCAACAAAATACCCAACCGAGGGTTACCTCATTAGATTCTTGTCACAACAGAGAACTAAAAAAGTCCTTGATWCTAATTTAAAAAAAGATCTATGCTTCAGGATTTTTTGGATTACAGTACTATGTTTTTTTTTTTTGTGAAATCATCCCTTCAGATTAATCGTGTCAGGCATTAAAGATTTAGAGATTGTACTGGAGCTAAAACAATCTACCACACCCACTGCTTCCATTCTCAAGCCCCTTAGCTTCTTCTCTCAGTAAGATTTTTAGGGGTGAGGCCTGCAATTTTTGGCATTCTTCCTAAACCTTTCACATGAACTTGCCTTTAATTTCTACTATGGTGTGAAAGTTTACCCTCAAGGCCAAATTCTTACAGTCATAAAGCTAATTAGAAAAAAATAGATGTTCCTGTTTAATATAAAGTTTGAATGAACATGCTTGATTTCCTAACTTTTTTAATTTAATAACAATTAAAAACATGCAAATATCAGTATGTTCCTGCCTTTTTTCCCTTAGGCTTTACCACATTTTAGCAGTGATAGTCTGTGTGCATACTTTAGGCCACATGATGTCAATAAATCAAGCTACACACACCCATGTTCAAACAAGCAAGACTCTTAGACCAAAAATCCGTATCCATCAGAAGATCAGTAGACACAAAGGTTTGGAATCAAGAGGTTTCAGCAAAGCGGCAAATGCAGATTTCCAAAAAAACATCTGCTGCAGATCAGTGAAGATAAGAATAAAAACAAAGTTAAATTCATCAGCATGTTGTCTGTTCTTGTTCAAAATGCAGCATCAGTCATGGCTGCTGTTACTTCAGAGCTCAAGCCTGGTCAAGACTTTTTGCTGGAAAAAGGTAAACTGCACTGATGGATCTGATAACCCCTGCAAATGGTGGGGTTAGAGGGTTTGCAAAAGCTAAGCAGTAACTTTAAAATACACRGAAGCAGGTCATTAGTTGGAGTGGAACAAAAATTTAAGTTTATGTGATGTGATGTGTATTATTGCTACATCCATATGGTGTTTGTAATGAGTCATACGGGGGTGCCCAACAGTTGTCAGCATGACTGAACACACACTAACGCTTCAGGAAAAAGGAAAGTAAAACATTCTTAAAAAAACAAAAGTTTATAAAAATGCATATCAAGAGAAAAACAAACTGCTCATCTTATATAAATTGGAAAAATCCAATCTGGAAAGTAAGAATGTTAGTGAAGACAGCAGCTCATTGGTAAAAAAAAATAAGTTGTCTTTCTATTTTGTGTGTGTTATTTAACAATTTAATGCAAAGTAGATGAATGTAGAATAGCTTAAGTTCCACTTGAAATGTTTTAAGAAGAACATGTCGCTAAAATGGCGTTGTGAAATAAGTGCTTTAGTACAGCTTCACTACTGGATCCAACCGGCTTCCTCATACCTGACCCGCGTGCTTTTTCTTATCAGGAGAAATGATGTTCACAAATCATATCAAAGTGTAAATGAAAGACGTATTTCTGAAGATAGGCTTCGAGAGAGCGTTACAAATTTGACAGACCTTCACAAATCAAATCTGAAGGTGTAATTCATTAAATGTTAGGCTGCTGTCAACAACAGAATGCACTGCATGGATGAATGTAGGTAACAGTTCTTCTCTGGTTTAGAAGTGTTTTAGAGAAAACATCTGTATTTAAGATCAGAACTTAAACTGAACTGAGCTAAATGGTGAAACCTACTTTGCACACTTTCCTTTCATACCTGTGCACTATGTGTAAACTGGGTGTGGACACTTTACAATGTCTAAGGTGTGGTTTGGTAGGCTATCTGTCTTAAAACTGAACATTTTCACGAGTAGCCATGCAGTAAATGCACCTTTAAAGACAGATATTGATCAGTAGAAAGGCTGCATTACATATCAGTCTGTTTGGGTGTAAATGACGCAAATGTGTGAATAAATTCTAAGCGCACCAAGAGCAGTTCGCTTGTATTTATTTGATGAGTAGTGCTGTGTGTAATCTGTCATTTGAGACCACACACACACACACACACACACACACACACACACACACACNACACACACACACACACACACACACACACACACACACACACACACGTGACGATCAGTTCCTACTCATGTTGCAGAAACAAAGGTTTGATTCAGGCCTACTAAGTTTTATTCAGTCAGGTCAGGTCGAGACATAGAGGTGTGGCAAATATGTGGATTTATGTGCCATTAAGTGAAACATATTCACTGCAGTGCAGCTGCAGGAGAGCACAAACCGTGCTTTTACCTTGTTGTATTTGATATTTTTACAATCCATAGAAGGTTAAACAAACATAAATTCACTCATAAAAATCCTTTATCTCTCGGCAATCCATAACACACTACCCTCAACTGTTCCTATTGACTTTGAGTTTTTCATTTTACTAAAAACCCAACTAATGAATATGCTTAAAAATGTTTTTAAAAGCTGCTTCTCGGGTTCGTCATTTATGTTTGACACATGCTTTCTGCTGGAGCTTTAAAATTAACTTTTGTAGCAAATCCAAAATCAACTACAGGTTTTTTTTTTCTGAATGCCACCCGTCAAGGACTAAACTGATGCCTGAAGTCTGGTTGTTGTCTCTGTCGGGTTTCCATTGCTCCATTTAGAACTTTGCCTCTGGTTGCAGAAACCCGTTGGACAGCTTTTAGCTTTCCTATCTTGGAGCAATTAACTTTTTCTCRTTTTTAAAAGCAACCCTTTAAGACACTAAACAATAGAGATATTGTTCAGTTATTATTGCAGCAGTTTATGCTGTTGATGTTTTAGTAATGCAGCAATTTAGAAACAAAGGACCAACCAGATTATCCTGCTGCTTCTGTAAAGCAGCGCTTCAAACTCGTGTTCAACAGCAAAGACAGGAACACATAGTGGCCAAGTTAAACATATCAGTCACATTTTTCATTACCCAGGTGTGATACACTGAATAAGAGGCATTCAGTTTCCTCCTTATATGGCAACAAGTTTATTAGAGATGATGAGATCATTGTTTTTGTCAGGTCTTTTGATGCTGGACTTGAAAATAATTTTAAATCAGGTTCTTCCTTATTTGTTGTTTAGGACACTAAACCAATGGATCACGTCAAGGGATCACGTTTTAGTTTCATTGCATTTTTCTTAATGTGAGCAGTAGTATCTTTAAATTATTAAATAAGTATAGTCCTTTTTTAGCATGATTTATTTTCAAATATTCAAAGAAGACAAGATGTTAAACTGAAGTTAACCTGAAGTTTTACTACATTTTTAAAGTGACACTGCATTTTGTAGAAGTTGTTTTAAGAAAAGAGCTTTCACAAATCCCAATCTGTCGATACATTGAGGTTCATCAGATTTTGGGTGGACTGCATTCTTGTCAAAAATAAGCAGCTTGTACAAATCTGTCAAAAGATGAACCTACAAACGTCTTGAGTCACTCAAAGGTGGTGAAGACATGAGAGCTGTCAGAGATCAAAACAACTGAAGCTGGAGGGAATCCAGATTTATTAAATGCAAAACGTTGAAGGGTTGATTACATGGCAGTTTTATGGAAAAATGTGAAATATGCACAATCATAAGGCAAGGACTGAGCTATTCAAATGCCTGCCAATCATTTACTACAAAAGAGGTCAAGTCACATATTTAAATAAAACAAGTATGGACATAAAATGAGCAGAAGAATCAAACATATTGTAGAATTTCACTGAAAAGATCATCAGTCTGTAATTTTGGACTTTTCTGGGTCTCTAATACAGCTGTGAAGACTGATCAATATGGATTTAAGGGTAAAAATTAAAAACGCACTGAATCTAAAGCAAATTATTTTCCCTCAACCACACCTTAACCACATCCAAGTAAAGTAAAAGACAATTAAAGCATCTATTTCCTGCTCATGCAATGTGGTTCACAACATTTTTTTGTACAAAATGTAACATAAGGTACAAAGAACCAGCTTTATCATGTTTCACTGACAAATATGTAACAGGATCGAATTACAAAATAAAAAAATGAAAGAAAACAAACAACAATTATCAAGTTTAGTTTAGTGTGTGTTCAAAAGCAACAAAATGCCTTGTGTTTGTTTTTCCATTATTATGGCAAATTATTGGCAAATAAAATTTCTAGAAATTATGTTTAAATTTAGCATGAAATTACCTCAATTTGACCATATAACTGAATTCTGACTAGACTAGCTAAGACCAAAAATTCACTAAAATCTCCAAAATTTTAATGCAATTTTAAAAACTTTTGCATTAACACAGTTTCACATCACATTGTTCATTACATGAAATCCTTTGGGTATTTGCAGGTGCATGTAGCAGTTAGCTGTAGCACTTCCTGTGCAGTTCAAGGCACTTGAATG